TACATAAAAATGGGAATAATGATTTTTAGCTTCTCTAAACAAACAAAATAAATAAATTCAAAATTCAAACTAAAATATATATTTTTAGTCCCTCCATACATAATTAATAAGGAATATTTATTATAAGAAGATATATAAACTACTATAGCAAAACAGTTATAACATTACATATTATTAAATTACCTAATTTGTTTCTAAACTTTTTTTTTTCTTGTTTTATAGATCAACCTATAGTAATTACGAACATTTAAGTAAATAATCTATGCAAAAAATTTCACGACTTCTATTGAATAATAAGTTCTCCAAATATCTATATCATTTTGTTATCATTCAAAATTTTATATTTAATGTTTAAATCCGATTTGGATAATGAAATGGACAATTTTTGGGGTCACTAGCTTATTGGATTGACTGCGGGTAATATATTAGCTATTAAAAATATAAGAAATATTTTATTTTTCGAAAATATTAAATTTAGCTATCTTTATCTTTTATTTTTATTTTTATTTCACATACAAAACATAACAAAAATAATTTAGACTATTATTTGTGACAAGTTAGAAATTATAGTATATTAAAGAAACTATCAAGACTTAAAAATTATTAGTAATTTAATATCTAATGTGAATAATAAAATTAAACTTTAAATCTAAATGAACAAAAAATAAAAATCAAATTTTAAGAAATTGTAATTAGTTCTCTGTCATCATTAATCTTCTTATGGTGGCATTGTGAAATCTTCTTACAAAAGTAAAAATGATAAATACAAAAAAAAATCACATAAGTCATGTTGTAAGTAAGATTCACGATAAACAAAAATTAAACAACATAAAAAATCGATGGACAAATAAATTTAACAATAAAGGAATATGATAAATTAAAACTAAAAAGTCTACTTTCTCATATAGAATACAAAAGAAAAATTGATAACATAGTTACAAAAATAAGTAAAAATTATCTATTCGATGGATCAATCCGTGGTTGAACAGGTAATCGATTCCAAATCTTAACGGTTATTTTCAGTTTTTATTGAATTCTATATGATTATTTTTTCTAAAACGTAAACCAGATTAAATATAAGTTATCAGATTTATTGGTTCGATCTCGGATCCAATCGAGCTTCAAAACACTTATTATGTTACAACCACTATATAGACGAATATAAGATAGCGTACTAATAAAAAATTTAAAATAGAAATGATATCTGGGATCTAGTAGTTTATTAAAACAGTGGAAAAAGAAATGATAACTGACACAATAACCATACAAAATTTATACAACACACAAACTCCAAAGTTTTAAGGTCAATACTGTAAAAAATGTAGGCGATACATAATCATTTTCTGCAGCGAACAATTAGTTAATAAACAGCATTCTATTTAGTTTCTAAAACGTATTTCACATTATATAATATTCAGTATATTTATATTGAGAATTCGGCCAAAAAAAACTCAAACTTTACATGAATTGCTAAAAAAAACACGAATATATTGGCTGGCCAAAAAAATACTGAACAATATTTGACTTTTAAATTTTAATCAGTAAGTTATCGTTGACTTGCCAATTAAACACTCCGTTAGTAAATTTAACAGAAGGATTGAACACCGTTTGTTAAGATCCGTTAAGTAAAACGACGTCGTTTTGAGATGGGATGAAACGACATCGTTTTACCTATTTTTATTATAAAAACATGTCGATTGCGTGGGTCGAACCTGAGAAGTCATGGCCAAATTTGAGGTTTCTTGCCACTGTGCTACAAATACTTTTAAGGAAATCTCTAACATGTTTTGTTTTATTGAGTATCAAAAAAATCTTGAAAAATCTAAATTATTTTTTAAAACTTCCAAAAAAACTTAAAAATTCAAGAAAATTCTGAAAAGGTAAAATTAAAATTGAAATTGCAAATAATTTTTTTGTTTAAAAAATCAAAACATTAAAAAATTGAAAAATTCTAAAATAATTCAAAGAAATGCAATGAATTAAATTTAATGATTAAAAAACTTGAAACCTATTTTTATATAAATTTATGTATGTAAGATAAAATAAAAGATGATATTTATCACACTATAAATTTTTGTATGAATAATGTATTTAAGATAAAATAGAAATGATAATTAAGATAAAATAAACAATAATATTATCACAAATTGTTTTGCTAAAATATGATATTGAATGAACATACAACAAAAAATAAAGATTTATATACATTTCTAGATAATAATTAAATAAAAAACATTTGTACTTTTTGGTGTATGTTTGTTTGTTATCATATCTTAGCAACAATTTTTTATTGTTTTTAGAAAACAAAAATTGTATTAAAACATATAGTGTGATAAATATCATTTTTGTGTTTATCTCAAATATATTAATTTATAAAAAAAACAAAAAACGTCCAACAAATTAAAAAATAAAAAATCTCAAAAATTCAAATGAAAAAAAATAAAATTAATGATTAAAATAATTGCTCTTATATAAATGAATGCATGCAAGATAATAGACACAATTATATTTATCACACTATATTTTTTGTATGATTAATGAATTAAAGATAAAATACACAAATGATCTTAGATACATTAATTTGTATATAAAAAATATATTTTTAAAGATTTTAATCATTAGTTTTTTGTCATATTTTTAATCATTAGTTTTCTCATTTTTGGATTCTTTAGATTTTTTATTTTAATATTTTTAGAATTTTATTTATTTTTTGAATTTTGTAAAATTTTAAGGTTTTTAAAGTTTTTTTGGATACTTAATAAAAGGAATTATGTTTGAGATTCATCAAAAGTGTCAGTTAGCTTGGTGGCGAAAGAGCATGTTGTTTGGCTTCGATTTCTCGAGTTCGAGTCCTCAGGTAAACATATTTTTTGTTTTAAAAACATACAAAACGACGTCGTTTCACTTTACATTGATATTTAACGTCAAAATAACGGCGTCTACACGGTAAGATTGACGGTGTACTAAAATGGCGAGTCAGTGATAAGTTCTCAAATAAAATTAAAAAATCAATAAAAGTACAGTATTTTTTTGGTCAGCTTTGAGTTCAGGTTTTATTTGGCAATTCATGCATAGTTTTGAGATATTATTAAATGAAATTGATCTTACTACCATTTGAAAGGTTTTTTTGTTTATTAAAAACATTAATAAATACCCAAAAAAGCAGTAGTGAAGAATCATTTTGATGGAGGACCCCACAGTACATGGTTCCATAATGGGAGAACCTCTATATAAAAGCGCCTCTTCACTCACCTCTCATCATGTCTCATTCTCATCCATCAATCCACAAAACATCATCATCTTCCTCTCTTAATAACACCACCAACAAACACAAAACACACACTTGAATTTTCACCCAAAGTCTGATCTTTCTCATATCTACAGGTAATATCATCCGACAAATAGGAGATAATTCCATCTCTTGTGTTGTTGATTGTAATTAGTAGTTGCTAACATTCTGATTATTATTATTTAAAAGGTTTTGAATCTTTTAATGATGATGGCTTGTGGCTTAAGCAAGAGCCTTGGCTTCTCTTCCTCTTTGAAGAAGCAGCAAGGCATAGTGACCATCCTTGGTGGCCGCGACTGTGACATTCCGTCGAACACTTCATCTGCACCTTCACTCAGGCGGACTTTCTCCGCCGATCTCTCCTCCAAAAATTGGGTCTCGCAAAATGGGTTCTCTCCCATGAAGAGGATCTCCTCCTCGAACAAGCTCCCTACCTTTGTTGCTGACTCATCGAGCTCACAAGACGAAGAGTCAAGATCCGGGTTGGATATTTGGGCACAAATTCAAGAAGACAAGAACAAGAAGGAAGAGATGGAGCCGTGCCAATCCGATGTATGGAGTTCGATATTATCAGACAAGAAAAAAGTGTCGGAATCAAGCAACGACACGGTTCCTCCACCGTACGTTCACCCACTGATGAAACGCGCAAGCTCCTTGAGCGAGAAAAGCCTCGAGATTTGCACTGAGAGTCTCGGATCCGAGACGGGTTGCGAAGGTTTCTCCTCCTATGCATCTTCGGAGACTGGAGATTCTGAGGAGAATCTTGTTCTCAACGTTACAGTGACCAAAGAGGAAGAAGAGACAGAGATTGAGATTGTTGAGAAAGAACCAATCACGGTTTCAAATCACACACCATGCATCGAGCTTCCCAAAGGATCCTTCCCTCCTCCGATTCGTTCTCTCTCGAGCCAATCGGGTTCGGCTCTGCACATGAAAACTCGCCGTGACAACGGCAGATTGGTTCTCGAGGCTGTCTCTATGCCGTCGCACAACAATTTCTCCGCTAAGCGCCAAGACGGACATCTCCTCCTCACTTTCGCTGAAATCAGCGACGAAGAAGACGAAACTGATGAGCTTCAGTGGTTTGAGGACGAAGAAGTGGAGGAGGCACAAGACGAGTTTGCCTATAAGCCCAATGGGCTTTTATATAAGCTGCCGCAAAAGGAAAGTGGGCCTATTACTGTTCATAGGTTGTTGGCCCATAAGCCTATTGGAGTACCAAAGAGAAACTCGAGATGGCCCCCGACAGATGATTTTGAGACCAAATCCGACGTAGTTCACTCTTTGCCTCCAAGACCAAGGGTGGCTCAGCTTGCTCGGTCAATGAAACCGCCGTCCACGGTGGACGACACTGTAGGAGCGGCTTGCTTCAACACATGTGACTACTCTTGGAAGCCCACTAACACTGAAAATTTGGGCTGGAACACAAAAACTCAAGTTCAAGCCCAAAACTATGTCAACAAACCATTCACAGTTGGACAGGAAGGTTGGATAAATGGTTGCAAGGAACGAAGGAGGTCTCTTTTGTCTGTTGAACGTTTCTGCATTGCCACTTCATGAGTTTAAGTTACTACCACAATGGGGTAATTTACAAGACCAAAAGCATATGACATATCTATCTATGTGTATATATATCTGAGTAGGTATACTCGAATATATATGCATATTAACCAAATAATTGTTGTTGTTGTTGATGTTTTTATTACCATATTTTCTGCCTCTATATGTTTTACCACATGCCTTTTGGTTTGTGGGTAAAAAGAAAAACAAACAAGAAAATAAGGAGTCAAGAGTAGGAGAGGGAAGAAAGTGAGGAGTGAAAATTGGAGAGTAATTTTATTGTTTTTAACGAGGCTATAGACCTTGTTGTAGTAAAGAATATTATATGAAAGTGTTTATGTTCATATTGTTGGTTCATATTTCTTGCAAATAAGACGACAACTCGTTTTGTTTATTTATGCTCAACCACATTTTTATCAAAACCGTACAACACACATATGGTTAAAGATAAGATACATGTCTCAGCTTTAAAGTTAAGAGAAACAATTTTTCTATAAATTAAAAAATATTAACACTTCGTTTGGAATTTGAAAACGAAAGATAAGATACATGTCTCAGCTTTAAAGTATAGAGAAACAATTTTTCTATAAATTAGAAAATATTAACACTTCGTTTGGAATTTGAAAACGAAAGCTGAGATTTATTTGGAGAGGTAACTTTGCTTATGCATGGTATTTTTCCTCAACTATTCATGTGGATGATGAGTATGCACACTGCCGGTCCAAATATAGGTAAATTTGCCTGTCGTCCTAAGCCAAATTTCTAAAAATATATGTTCATGTAAATCAAATAATAAAATACTGAAAATACGCAATGGAAAGTGTTTTTAACAAAATGATAAGATCATGATTAACCCGGGTTTCTTAAGACGGGATTCTTAGCGTAAGTTAAGAAACTTAACTTTTAACTAAAAACTAGATTTTGACCCGCACAACCGTGCGGGTGTTATTTTTAATTGTATATATATGCATATATTATATTTATTTTAGATTATTAATGGTATATACTTTAATTTTAATCGTATTTAAATATTTATATAACTATTTCAAATACAATAATTTATAGTTTACATGTTATATATAATTAATGATTTAAAACGATCACATGTATTTGTTACTTCTTATTATGCATTATCTTATTGTATTTGCATTTAGTTATAGTATATGCATAAAAGAATATTTGAAAATTATTTTGTATTTAATTTATGTTAACTTTTTACCCGTCCTTCAAAATTGAATTTTATATTATTAATATATTATGCTTATTTATTTTACATAATATATTATTGTATATATACATATATTGTAGTTTGTCATCATATTATATCTTCTTTAACATAAATATTTATGTAAATAAAATTTATAAATCTATTAATTTAATAGAATTATATCATATGTAGTTCAATTCAACTGTTTTATTTTAAATATGATTGATTATGATTACGAAATAGATAAAAATATGATAGTTTTTACATTTTAAAAACAATAACTGTATATATATTAATGCATAATGTATTCATTGCTAATTATGAGATTAGTTAAAAATATTTACAGAAACTTTTTGAAAATATATTATTAAAATATTTAGATCAACATAATATTTTTTTAATATNTATAATTGATAAAATAAAATATTTATTTTTCATATTATAAATGATAACTAAATATGTTAATGTATAATAATATTTTAAAACTAATCACGAAATTAATTAAAATATATACATATAATCTTCAAAAATTAAGATCTTGTTAAAATCTTCTTAAACAGACTTTTCAAAATTTTAATATATATATATATATATATATATATATGTAAATGAAAAGATATCAAAAGATATTATGATTAAAGTAGTTCAAAGATTCTATATATTATTAAATAATTTTTAGTGGATGGTCCAAATTTTAAAAAATCACACATGAAGTGAAGTCATGACTTCTCTTTTAATATATAAGATGCTAAGAACCGATTCTTAAAATCCTTATTTAAGAACTGATTCTTAGCGTTTTTAGTTAAAAATTAAGAAACAGTTTTTAAATTTTCGCTAAGAACACGCCTTAGGAACTCGGAGTTAATCATGTCTTCTGAGAAAGTCCAAAGTTATTTTTTAGAATCATATGCTAACCCGAATCCTTAAAGCCCATATATTTTATGGGCCATAATGTCATCTCTTTCTCGTTACCTAAACCCGAGTATTTGACCCGAAAGACCTGGCTCCATATATCTCGAATTAGACCCACCCGAATACCCGACCTTCCAATCCCAGAGAAATCGACATCTTCTTCCTTCCCTAACTCTTCCGTACTTGAAAAAAAAGAGAAAGAGAGAGAGAGGGAGGGAAGAGAAAATCAATCAGTGATGGGAGATGTCAAAGTAGACGACGATGCGATTCTCAAATCCTTCCTCGCAGAGGTCGGTGAAGTCGAGAGGGACAACGAAGTCGTCAGGTTCCTTTCTCCTAACCCTAATTTAACCTCTTATTCCTCTGATCCGAGCCGCTTATCATTCAATTCATAGTTTGTTAGGGTTTCTATTGTTCTGGATGTATTATCAATATGTTCGTCTCTTAAGAACACCCTAACTTAGCGAATTTAATTTACCATTTGATTTTCCAGTGATTTTTGTATGGTTTACTTCACTATGCACTTGATTTACAAACCGGATCTTGTGAAAAAATTTGATCAATTTCTATATTTTTTTTTTCATGGGAATTACGGAATTGATAGTTATGCACATAATTAGTTTTAGCTTTGCGGTTAAACTTGTTTTTTAATGATTCGTATTTTATAAAAATTGAAACTTTGTAGGATTCTCTCATGCTTCAAGCTGAACCCCTTTGAGCATCTTAACTTATCTTTTGATTCTTCCACGGATGACGTTAAAAGACAGTACAGAAAGGTATCTTTCAGTTCTGTGTTCTGTCCCCTTGCACTTCGAGAAGACATTTATTTTTCCTTAGTGGTTTTGGTTTCTATGCCAACACAGTGGGAACTTTGTGACTAATTTTGTACATTTTTACCAGATATCTTTGATGGTTCACCCTGACAAATGCAAACATCCTCAAGCACAGGAGGCCTTTGGAGGTTAATTTTCGTTGCCTATCCAGTTTTTTTTTTTGTCTGATTTCACTATTTGAGTGTTGCATCAGTTGATTTCTTTCTCTCTTTTTTTTTTTAATGAATTTTTTTATGTTTATTTGGGTTTTGATTTACTGAACAGCATTGGCAAAGGCGCAACAGCTCCTGCTAAATGACCAAGAGAGAGATTATATTCTCACTCAAGTTCAGGCTGCGAAAGGTGAGATTTTATTGCTTATCTTAAAGTTTTACCGGAACTTACCTTTTACGTTTAGTAACTTTCTTTTCTTCAACTGTGCAGAGGAGCTTAAGATGAAGAGAAAGAAACAGTTGAAGAAAAATACCGCCTCTAAAATTAAGTCCTTGGTTGATGAGGTAATGAATTTTCTTTTTCTTTGGGGTGGGGGTGATTGAGTCTACTGTTAAGTTGGGTGATTGATGGCTCATTTTAACCAGCGATATAAAAAGTATTGATTTTGATACTTCAGATTTTTTTTGGTCAAAATTGGGCATATTCTGGAATGAACCAACTGCTGTCGCTTGTTGAGCGAGTATTATATCTACGTTGAGTTTTAAGAATTGTTTGGCAATGGCCAGATTACGTGATTTCTAGATGCATGTTAAACATAGTAGTACACTTTTACAATGTCTTGCATTACTGACATGAACTGGCTTGACATTGCTGTTATGTAAACCCCCTTTCTACTTACACTTAAGCAGAAAACCTTGTGCCTACTATTTGCGCATGAAATACGAATTCTAAGATACAGAATACGTAGCTCATGTTTGTTAAATTGTATGGGTTAGATGAAAGGACATATTAGTGAAATACCGCTTTCTGTTTTTATTCTTCTTTTATACCGTCTGATTGCTTGTGTATCACTCAACTCGTTGTTTCTAGATCCTTGATAGCTTCAGTTTCACATTTGTGCTTTTTTTGGCAATCATATTCGTCTTTTTTCTCCAGTTCATATTCCTCTGAACTTGTATTGATATCACAATTTATTTACACAGGGAAAGCATGAGCAACTATATGAGCAGTCTGAAGAGTTCCAGAAGGAGCTGAAGTTAAAGGTCCGAGAGATATTAACAGACCAAGAGTGGCGTAGGAGAAAAATGGCTATGAGGGTATGCAGAGTTTCTAGTTCATTTTTTTGTATTTTATCCGTGAGAAGTCACACGGTCATTCATTCATTTTTTTGTGTTATTACTTCTTGACATTTAGATATCAGAAGAAGAGGGAAGACTGAAGAAGGACGAAGAAGAACAAAAGGAGATACGGAAGAAAAAGCGTGAGCATGAAGAACAGTGGGAAGGAACGAGAGAAAACAGGGTTTGTGCTTCTGTTAATCCATTATCTTGATTCCGAACCTGCCTATGAATGCATTAGTTAGAAGTAGAATCACTTAGCTCACCTTTTTGGCATGAAGTATGGTTAGTATGTCCTTGTTCCATCATATGTTGATAAAATATGCAATTTTCTCATTTTATATTTCACCATGGAACGTTTATGACAGTGTATAGTCAGGTTTAACGAAATTGTTTTGTTGTCCTTGATATCAGTGATTTTTAACAACGTTTGGGTTTTCCATGTTCAGGTATCAAGCTGGAGAGACTTCATGAAAGCAGGAAAGAAGGTAAGTTAGCTAGGAAAGACTCCTACATTAGTGAATTATTTTTTCTTCCTTTGGTCAAATATCAATCTAAGCTTATGTTATCATCATCCTTCAGGCTAAAAAGGGAGAGACTCGTCCTCCAAAACTGAAGACTGAGGATCCAAACAAATCATACGTTCAAAGGCCAGTCAAGAAAGGTTGATCCCTGACTCCTTATGCTGTTGTTGTCATTGATAGATTGGTCTTCGCGAGTATGATCTCAGACTTGTTCTGCTTATGTCTGTGTTTCTCTTTGTACATCACCAACTTCTTTATCTTTCCAAATACATCAGAAACATGGAAGAGATATATAAATTTATCTCACTTCTCAAACGCTTATGACCTTTTAACCTATGTTTTGTGTTAGACTTTATACAATAATACACTTTAGTCTTCTTATATCAGTGTGTTTGGTTTGGTGTAACTATTAGAGTGTTCACGACAAAAGACCAAGAAAAGTAGAGTGTTCTCTCAGTAGATTCCATTGACACAACCATAATGGTACAGACCCCACACCTTGGGTGCTATGTACAAGCACCAGTTCCAAAAAGAACCAGAAAAAGAAAAATTAGAAGTTGATATCTCAAAGTTGCTAAATCTTACTCCAAGTGTTAAGAGTAGCTTGAAATAGTCCCTTCATTGGTCGTGGTAAAAAGGAACTTTCCGGAGTTTATAAAAGCCTTTCGAGTCAAATCAAAGATATATTTAAAGATACCTTGTTTTTGCTGCAGATTTTTCATACTTTCAAGTTTCAATAGTTACCATAGGAAATTTATAAGTCAGCCTGCAGTTGAAAGTCTGAGTTGGAATACGATCTTCTGTTATGTAAAGAGCATCTCACTTCTAATTCCACATAGTCTTATGATGTTCCAAGAAGAAGCATTATTGCATTTGAGAATACTCCCAGCTGGGACTTTCCAAGTAATTTGCACGATGTTGCCAGTGACTTTCGGAGATATTACCATCAGCATCCGACATACATTATATTGACTTCGTTGACATGGTCTTTTTTAGCTTTTTCGACAATTATGGGGTATATATTTGAGATATGTTTTATCTTAAACAAATGGGTTTCCTAATTTTGCATAAATGCTGAATATATAAATGTTGAATTGCTGACAAAAAAAAATTAAATGTTGAATTTATATTTAAAATATATAAAATTAGTGTAGATTAATCGTATTTGGATCTATATTTACATACATAAAAATTTTCCATCGCATTTATTAAAAGAGTACATGAACTTGTTGATGCAATTTTCAAAATTTAAATTAGTGTAGATTAATCGCATTTGGATTTATACTTAGTAAAAACAAGAAAAAACCTACCTTAAAATTTCCGTCGCATTTATCAATAGAAAAAACCTACCTTGTTGATTTTATTTTTCAAATTCATCTATTTTCTCTATTTTTCTTTGATTATTTACCTAAATTTCCTTTGTTTAATAAATTTCCCACTTTCCCACTGTAGAAGAAATGAACAAAAAAAAACAAAACAAAGTATTAAATAAAAGGAAAGATATAAAAGGTTCTAGAGTGTTCCGCTGTGTCCCTACAAAGACCTGAACACAAACCAAACCCAATTAGTCTTCTTCAAACAACAGCAGCCACAAAAACAAAAACTCCATTAAAAAGCCTCTCCTCCGCACTTTCCTTTAGGGTTTTCTAAAGAACGTAGAAAAGATGTTCAGAAGAGGACCTTCGAGTAAGAGCGACAACACCAAGTTCTACGAGATCCTCGGCGTCCCCAAGACCGCATCTCCCGAAGATCTCAAAAAGGCTTACAAGAAAGCCGCCATCAAAAACCATCCCGACAAAGGTGGAGATCCAGAGAAGGTTCGGTTCTTGAGATCCCCCCTTTGTATTAATTGAGTTTGTGTTCGGTAAAGTTTAGTTCTTTTGAATAGTTTTGATTTGGGTCTTCGTTAAAGTGTGTGGTTGGATCTGAAAGTTGGGAGCTTTTAGGTCAATTTGGTTGACTTGTTTACTATGTGCAGTTTAAGGAGTTAGCTCAGGCTTATGAAGTTCTAAGTGATCCAGAGAAGCGTGAGATCTATGATGAGTATGGAGAGGATGCACTCAAGGAGGGAATGGGTGGTGGAGGCGGTGGGCATGACCCGTTTGATATCTTCTCTTCCTTCTTTGGTGGTGGTGGTGGACACCCTTTTGGAGGTTTAGTCTCTCTAACAGTTCCCTTGGATTCTCTCATTTTACAATCTTTTTTTCAGTGTTCTATAACTCTTTGTCTATAGATGACAAATGGGACCTAAACAAAACAATTTTTTTCAGAACATTTTCAAAAAAAAAAATTGATTTAGATGCTTAAAAATTTAGTCTATTCGTCTGCCTAATCAACAATCCAATTATAAAGAACGTAACTAGCTTCTAGCTATTTTTTCAAACATTGGTTTTGCCTATTAAATGGATGATAAAAGGTTTTTTTTTTTTTTTTTGATTAGGTGGTAGCAGCCGTGGAAGGAGGCAGAGGCGTGGAGAAGATGTTGTTCACCCTCTGAAGGTTTCACTAGAGGATCTTTACCTCGGAACGACAAAGAAGCTCTCACTTTCTAGGAAGGCTTTGTGCTCTAAGTGTAACGGGTTAGTTACTTTGTTGTACTTTCTAAAACATGCTTCTCTCTAAGTGCTTAGCTGACATTATTTGCTTAATAATGGCAGAAAGGGTTCAAAGTCTGGAGCTTCATCGACATGTAGTGGATGTCAAGGATCTGGGATGAAGGTTTCGATCAGACAGCTTGGACCTGGAATGATTCAGCAGATGCAGCATCCTTGTCATGATTGTAAAGGTACAGGAGAGACCATCAATGATCGTGACAGGTGCACACAATGCAAAGGAGAGAAGGTTGTCTCTGAGAAGAAGGTGCTTGAAGTAGCTGTGGAGAAGGGAATGCAGCACAGTCAGAAGATCACATTCAGTGGACAAGCTGATGAAGCGGTTTGTTAATACTCATTCTACCCCTACTTTCGATCATTATATCATTTAGTCTTTAAGTTTTTTTCGATCATTATATCATTTAGTCTTTAAGTTTTTTTTGGTCATTTGATAACAGCCTGATACAATCACTGGAGATATAGTGTTCGTCATTCAGCAGAAGGAGCACCCAAAGTTCAAGAGAAAGGGAGATGATCTCTTTGTGGAACACACCCTCTCTCTTACAGAAGCTCTCTGCGGGTTCCAGTTTGTCTTGACACATCTGGACAAAAGACAGCTTCTCATCAAATCCAGCCCCGGGGAGGTTGTGAAGCCAGGTACTTATCTCAACCATGATCATCCCTTGTTTTTGCTTTTCTTCTTCTTCTTACCATTGGTGTGTGTTTGGTTGTTTGATAGATTCATACAGGGCGATAGCCGACGAGGGAATGCCAATATACCAAAGGCCGTTCATGAAGGGTAAGCTTTACATCCACTTCACGGTTGAGTTCCCTGAATCTCTTAGCCCGGACCAGACAAAGGCCATTGAAGCGGTTCTGCCAAAGCCAAAGGCAGCTCTGAGCGACATGGAAATAGATGAGTGTGAAGAGACAACGCTGCACGATGTGAACATTGAGGATGAGATGAGAAGGAAGGCTCAAGCTCAAAGAGAGGCTTATGATGACGATGATGATGATGAAGAAGGCCCAGGCGGTGCTCAGCGTGTGCAATGTGCCCAGCAGTGATGTCAACATGGCACTTGTAGTGATATTCAGCATTTGCGTTTTTAAACATTAATGTATTATTTTTGGGTCTTTGCCCAATTTGGTTGGAAGAAACTTGTCCTAATTCATTTTCTTTTCTCGTTCAGAAAAACTTTTCTAGTTCTCGAGATTCTATGTATCCTCTCCAACAGTTCAGTGTTACCAAATCTAGCTATGGCTTGAGATTCTGTCGTCTTTGGTACAACTATCTATTAGCTGTTACTACATTAAGAATCGTCTGAAGTGGACAGACACACCATGCCATCTCCAGTTCGACCATTCAACTCCAGTTCAATTCACAAACAGCGGCTAGTATCTATGTTCTGACATTAATCTTTTTCTGTTGAAACTGGTATACATGTGTTATTGAGAAGGAAAGTGGCTCGTACCTCGAATTTATAAAGAGTCGAGCCACAGCTAGAAAATGTTGTAGCTGTTGCCAAGGTCAATTATTTTATCAACTAGAAAAGTTGTGTACCCATTTTGATCAAGTCTCGGCTTCATCTATCTGATGATTGTCCTGTGATCAGTCCCAACATCAACACTAGTAGATGAAATAATCACGTTTTACATTTCTCATCCGCATATTGGCACATGAGTTCACTGAAAAATTATACATCTGTGCGCAGTTACCGATCGTTAGTAGTTTAATCAGCATGTTAAAATAAACAAGAATACTCATACTAGTTAGTGTCTCTGATATTTGAAAGCTAACTAATTAGTAATGCAGCTGCGACCTCAATAGCTATTTAGATGCAAGTCTTTCAATTCAAAGAGTGAGCGGATCTATCAAGAAAGAGACAAGAGATTCCACAAAGGATTCTGGCATTGTGTTTTAGGGAGGATTCACTCCCACTCTTTTCTTTTTGGCTTTTATAGATCAATTAAACGTTTTAGACAACCTCTCCCCTCCCCAAAGATTCTTCATTCTTTGTTTTTTATACGACCAGAGAATTTTATAAATAAGCGTCCTAAGTTGTGTTTCAACTTTTTATTGTTAAGAAGATTGCAACCTTCCAAATGACAAATCGTACGATAGAGAGATCCCACCTAAAAAGGTTGCATGCAGACACATGACACACATCCAAAAGATAATATGGCTATTCGCTTATGCGTATAAAGTTACTTTATTGATATTACATATTATAAGTTTATTAACCACATGAATTAAATATGATTAATCATCCAATTCAACCAAGTATATGAAGCAAAGCCGTAATTGCTTATGCGTATAAAGTTACTTTATTTTATATTTTTTGCTAAAATTGTTCATATCTTACTTTTTGAAACAAGAATTACTGTATTATTTTCCTATGCATTTTACAACAATAAATTATTACAATCGAGATTATACAAAGAGAAAGCAAATAAAATTTGATGAAATATCATTTTTCTTAGTCGAGATAAATTACAGGTTATATATAATTAGATAATCAGCAATTTATTTTTATTGTTAAAATAAAAAAAAATTATTATATAAATTTCCCTCCCTTCCCTTTTATATCATCTTCGGGAGGGACGACACTTCACAAAAAAAAAAAGAAGAAAAAAAAAAAATCAGAGGGCCAAATCTCTCTCTCGATAAGTTTCATGCGTTTTGAGATGCTGACTGTGTGAAGAAAACATCGGTCCTCCTCCTCCTCCTCCTCCTCCTCTACATATCTCTCTCTCTCTGTCTACGAATCTTGGCTTTCACCAATCTTGTATCGAACAACAATGAGCGTGGCATCTCCCGAGGTATCTCCCGATTCAACTCCGCGGATCGATTCCTCCAACGGCGAGCAGAGCGTCTACTTCGTCCCCTTGAGGTATCTCCGCCTTCTCTATCGCATATCGTGTCGTCCCTTGTAAATCGAATATTCCGCGAATCTGAATCGCATCTTAGTAACTGGTGGAGTTTGATTCGCATTTGGTTGGATTTGAATCTTTTTCTGAGGTTTGAAAATTTTGATTTGATCTATAGATTTTTTGGATCCGTTTGGGATGTATTATCGTAGCAGCTAGCGATAGAATCAAATGGATGCGATTTTGAAATTCATTACTATTAATTGAAATAGATATGGATAATAGCTATGAGCCATTCGCTTATTGCTGATTAGAATGGGGCTCAATCACAGATCTGCAAAACTACGATTCTCGTTCGTTCCAGATTCATATAAGTATTATCTAATGGTAGTGTTAGGGAAACGTGAAATTGATGTGGAGATGTTTTGAACATTTGAATTTTTTAGGTGGTGGAAAGATGCTCAAGAGTCAACGCCTCCTGAATCAGCTGAGAAAAGAGAGGTCTTAAGAGAGGTTTTGTATACAGCAACGACTGGGTCGTCTTATGGAGGCCCGATGAAGTTGATTAATAACATCTTTAACTCTGATATTTTGTTTGATCTGAGGAGAGAGGGAGATGAGTTTAAGAATGGTGAAGCGGGAGAAGCAAGCGTCTCTGGCAGGGACTTTGCTTTGGTCTCCAGTGATATGTGGCTGCAGGCACTTAAATGGTAAGTAGTTGTGTCTTCTGTTCATATCTCTCACTATCCATGTCAATTTTGTGTTTCCAGTTGATATCCTTTTGTATAAGTTGTGTTGGGATGTGTGAGAGAAGTACAGATTATTGTTATGATGCAGGATCTCTGATCATAGTATCTATTATATTCTCGTTATATAGTTAGTAACTATTGTATACATGCTTGGGTTTTCTGCACACTGTATCTTTAAAAAAAAAAGAAAGGTGATGTTCTTAACTTGTCACCTATTACTTTTCTTTCGCTCCCAGGCACCATGACGATAAAAAGAATGAGAAAGGTGTAAAAAGTTTCTCGGCTGGAGGAGTTGACCGAGGTGATGTTTATCCGGTACAACTCAGGCTCTCCGTCCTGCAGGAAACCAATTCATTGGCTGTTAAAATTTGCAAAAAGGTAATTTCAAGTTCACAGCTTTTTTTATTTGCCTAATCTAGTGCCTTGGTGGTGTCACTTTTTCTTGCTGCTATAGCAATGTAGTGATCGGCTTTACCTAAATCGGTTACCTTAGAACTAAAGTTTCATAACTGAGTTTTCCTACCAGATGAGACATTGCATAACTATAGGTCCATAGAATCTACTTCCTAGCTGCTGAATTGTTTCATCTACAGAATCTAGTCCTAAATTTGGAACTTCATCCTCCAGTTAAGATTTATGCTTGAACCATACTATAATCGACTTAGTTTACTGATCTTCCTATCAACTCAGTTTTTTTTGTTTCTGGTTCCAAATTTTATGTTTTGCCTCATGCAGGACAATTCAGTCGAGTGCTTCAGAAGAGCATGCAAGATATTCAATTTGGATTCTGAGCAGGTATTTTTCCATGCATGATCTGTTACGTACTATGTAGTATGTACACGATATGCGTGCCAGTTTATGCATAATTTATGTCGGACATGCGAGATTTTCATCCGTATTCGTGCAATTACAAAGTCTCCCCGTATTTTTGGTTCTGTAGCTGCGCATTTGGGATATTTCTGGGCAAACAACCTTGTTTTTCGAAAATGATGTGAACAATTCCATGGATTGTCAACAACAAACAGATCAAGAAGTAAGTGTGACGCCTTCCCTTTTCATTTTTCTCCTATCTCCTTTGATGCGGTATTTCATATCGATCATTACTTTTGGCCCAACAGATGCTTCTAGAGCTGCAGATTTATGGGTTATCAGACTCCATCAAATTGAAGGAATCGAAAAAAGAAGATGGTTCCACACAGCAAACCAACGGGATCACCAATGGCATTAATGGTGGCACAATTTTTAGATTTGGACGGAGTAATTCTTTGAGCTTTTTGGGAAAAGCTGGAGAAGCCGGAACTCTGGGGTTGACAGGCTTACAGAATCTAGGGAATACTTGTTTCATGAACAGCTCCCTTCAGTGCTTGGCTCACACACCAAAGCTTGTTGACTTCTTTCTTGGAGAGTACAGTAGAGAAATAAATCTCGAGAACCCATTGGGAATGAAAGTATGCTAACCTATGGTTTTCTGTATAAATATCTGCCTTGACTGGTAAAGATATATTCTTGCTTCTTGGTTAGCCTTACCGATCAAATTTTCTTCTGGCAGGGTGAGATCGCATTAGCTTTTGGTGATTTGTTAAGGAGTTTGTGGGCTCCAGGTGCATCAACAGTGGCCCCAAGGACATTTAAAGCAAAACTTGCTCGATTTGCTCCTCAGTTTACTGGCTTTAATCAACATGATTCGCAGGTCAGGGAAAACACTTCAGTTTATAGAATCTTAAGTGAGCCTTCCTGATGTTTGTTCACGTCTGTCAGCATTAAAGACCGCATATTGGAATGTCCCATTCATGTGTTTCAGTTTTATTTTATTTGGTTGCAGGAACTTCTAGCTTTCTTGCTGGATGGGCTCCACGAGGACTTAAACCGTGTAAAAAACAAGCCTTATGTGGAAGCAAAAGATGGAGATGGCCGTCCAGACGAAGAAGTGGCGGATGAATATTGGCGAAATCATGTGGCTCGCAATGATTCAATAATTGTTGATGTTTGCCAAGTAAATATCTTCAGGTTCCTAAATTGTTTATAGACATCTGCCGAAAACCACGCTTAGGATTGGGTGTGACTGCACATTAGGAAACTTTAATTTGTTTGAATTCAGCTTGAAAAATGTTGGATGGTTTAAGCTGAGTAGTATTTTAGGTTTTACGTATCAATTGATCTAAGCTGCATATGTTTGAAATTTCTTCCATCAGATTGGTCAGTTGCAATTTTATCTTCTTGATTTGAAAAATATTACCGTTTTGATAAGTTTGTCAAGTTATTAGAGTGTTCTCTGTAAGCAATTGTTTTAAGCATTGCTTTGCGTTTCATATAACCCTCTTTGCACTAAACTATTTGAATATGTCATGAACTTTTAGCTTCCTGGATATTCTCATCTTTGATTCAGTGCATTTGTTAAGAAAATATGGATCACTAAGACATATATATGCATTTTCTGGTTGTAGGGCCAGTACAAGTCAACATTAGTTTGTCCTATTTGCAAAAAGGTTTCTATTATGTTTGATCCGTTCATGTACCTATCGCTGCCTTTGCCATGCACGTCATTGCGAACAATGGATGTAACAGTCATGAGTGCCGATGGGGGTAGTCTGCCCGTCTCATTGACTGTGAACGTTCCCAAGTTCGGAAAATTTGAAGATCTTCAGAAGGCTCTTGTCACTGCCTGCTCTTTACCAGAGGATGAGACTTTACTGGTTACTGAGGTATATTTCTATATCATATGTTATGTTTGATGCCTTGATTCTCGTTTTGGTACTTAGATAATACATACAATATAAATTCTCTTCACTTGGTATATATTTGTGTAGGTCTACAACAATCGGATTCTTCGCTTCCTGGAGGAGCCTACTGATTCATTAAACTTGATCAGAGATGGTGATAAACTTGTCGTGTATCGGTTAAAAAAAGATGCAGACAATTCTCCTTTGATTGTATTTATGCATCAGAAGCTGGAAGAGTAAGTTTGCCTAGTATTTATATGCTGCGTAAGGTTCTTATCAATGCAAATTGCGCTCAGCCCGGCTTTTTTTGCCTGGTGGTTTTAGACATTATCTGTTTGTTTATGTTCGCAACAACATGATTTAAACTTCATTACATGCACGGTTTTCAGCAATAAATGTATATAACTCCAGCCTTTGTATAATGCATTTCTAACATGCTACTGTTCAATTGATAAGTGGTGCTGTAGTTTCAAATTTATGTCTTCGGGTTACTAAATATGTAATCGTTCCAATGTTTTTCAGGCAGTTTATCCTTGGGAAGTCAAGCCCAACTTGGAAAGCATTTGGAATCCCCTTGGTGTCGAGGCTTTCTGATATCGAGAATGGATCTGATATTGAGAACATGTACCTGAAGTTGCTTAGTTCATTTAAGATGCCTACTGAACTCGTCACAGAGAATCTTGAAAATCCTATTGAAGAAGAAGCCATAGAAAAAGAAGTTACCGATGGTACTACTTCAGTTGAGGATACAAATTCCACTAATGTAAAGGAGATTACTGAGTCTCTTCCAGATCCAGACCCTGTGTTGAGGCTATACCTAACCGACGACAGAGGAAGCTCAATAGAATCTGAAATATTGAAAGAAAAGCCTGTGAATATTAAATCCAAGCGGTTAAATGTGCTTGCACGCTGGCCAGTAAAAGAGCTAGACGTTTATGATACTTGTCTTCTGAGCTCCTTACCCGAGGTTTCCAAATTTGGAACTAAGAGACCCCAGGAAACCGTTTCGCTTTACAAGTGCCTTGAAGCATTCTTGAAGGAAGAGCCTCTTGGTCCTGATGACATGTGGTGAGTTGAGGATCTAAACTAGTTCTCGTTTCTATTCTCTGACTTTTAATGCTTTAAATCTTATGAAAATTGTGCACCTTCACTTTTGCTAATCCCTTTGTGGGCATGGGATGCTATTTTACTAGTTCTCTAGGTTACTTTGGTCTTTGGTAGCTGATGTGAGTGAAAAAAATCGTTTTTAGGTATTGTCCTGGATGCAAGGAACACCGGCAAGCCATTAAGAAGTTGGATCTCTGGAGGTTGCCAGAGATACTGGTTATTCATCTGAAGAGGTTTTCTTATAGCCGGTTTATGAAGAACAAGCTGGAGGCCTATGTTGACTTCCCGATAGATGGTCTCGATCTGTCAAGCTACATCTCCTACACAAATGGTCAGACCACTTACCGCTACATGCTATATGCGATCAGCAATCACTATGGGAGCATGGGAGGTGGCCATTACACTGCATATGTCCACGTAAGTATCTATTGTTCTCTTGTATGTCTCAACGTTTCATCTGTTTTAAGCACTTGTGTTACAAATGGAACCCCAGGGATGTAAAATATCAGTAAAAGTTAAATTAGACGGGATGGGTTATCTTACTGGACATATCCGTGTAGTGAGTTAAGTCCATACGACTTATGACTCTCAAACTCATCTTCTTCTTCTTCCTTTTCTTTTGCAGCATGGAGGTGATCGATGGTACGACTTTGATGATAGCCATGTGAACCAGATCAGCCAAGAAAAAATCAAGACCTCGGCTGCTTACGTTCTGTTTTATAAACGTTTAGTGGAAGACAAATGAAGCAGAAGCTGAGAAAGACGAGAAAGAGGTAACATGCAGTTTTGTTACTGTTAGGGGAAGCTTGTTTACAAACATCACTGGGTTGATTATCAGTACAAGATCAAAGCAGTTGCGTTCAGGGCTTGTTTACGGGAGAGGGAGGAGAGTAGGGAAGAAGAAGACCAAAAGTAGGAGAGGACCATGTTATGGGGTGGGGGGATTCATTTTATTTGTTTACAAAAAGTTGTCTGGTGTCTGATTATTTCATTTAAAAACCATATTCAATTAGTAGGGTAGAAGAAAGACATAGAGAAATGCCTTTGAACAAAAACCCTTGTGGGATTATATGTTCTGATTGTTGTGTTTAGTTTGTGTCGGGTCGGTTCTTGACCAAGAAAGTTATAACAAACATGTCTACTTTTTTAATAACTAGTTTTTTCCCCCAAATAATAACGACAAGTCTAATTTACACCTAACCAACTTTTAAAGTTTTGTAGTTATGTGTTCGAGCAACGAAGTTGAGAAAGAGAGAGGGAGAGGTCTCTTGGCGTTGCTTAACCACTCGATGGATCTACCTACCACTCTTCTTCTTCTTCTTCCCCTTTTAAACCCTAACATCTTCTCTGTACATCACCTCACGGCTCCATCATGGCCTTGTTCTTCTCTCCTTCAACCTCAGCTCTTCTCTTCCTCACCCTCTCCCTCGCCCTCTACTGCAGCATCGACCCATTCAACCACTGCGCCATCTCTGACTTCCCAAATTTCGTATCTCACGAGGTTGTCTCTCCACGTCCCGATCAAGTTCCATGGGAGAGAGACTCCCAGAACTCTCTCCAGAAATCAAAGATTCTGTTTCAGAACCAAGTCCAGGGTCCCGAGAGCGTCGCGTTTGATCCTCTAGGACGTGGTCCCTACACCGGGGTTGCTGACGGTAGGGTTTTGTTTTGGAATGGCCAGAACTGGACTGACTTCGCCTACACGTCAAGCAATCGGTGAGTAGACTCTATGAAAGTTCCTGACCTTAGGTTCATAAAATCTCCCAGAGTCAATTTTCAAGATATTTCGATTTTAAAAATAACATTTCGTACCAACTTAGTTGGTTTGAACACGGGGCACAAGTATAGTATAGTATCTCTCAACTATTAGTTAACTTTCTTTTTGTTTTGGTTGGTAACAAGTGTAGATCAGAGATTTGTGATCCGAAGCCTTCTGCTCTGAGTTACTTGAGGAATGAACATATATGTGGGCGTCCTCTGGGTCTCCGTTTCGATAAGAGAACTGGCGATTTGTACATCGCCGATGCTTATATGGGACTGTTGAAAGTAGGTCCTGAAGGTGGCTTAGCAACGCCGCTTGTAACTGAAGCTGAAGGCGTGCCATTGGGGTTTACTAACGATCTTGACATTGATGATGATGGAACTGTTTACTTTACTGATAGCAGCATCAATTACCAGAGAAGGTCTGCTTCTCTTCATTCTTTCTTACTAGAGTAGCTGATTGTTTCCGTAAGATATGTAGTAACTTGAATACTGAGAAGCTAAAGGTGTTTCTCAGGTTCTCAGCTAAGTGCTTCATTTGAATCTGAACGAGTTTCACTGTTTGTAGCTTATCCTGGAATAGTGTTCACTAGGTTAAAATGGGTCATGCGAAGTGGTTTCGTTTGAGTAAATGTGTGGGTGATGCTGGTTGTTTATATATGTGGTGTCTATCATTGTTCTTGGATGTATACCAAGTCTGTTTTCTGATTTTATTTTATTTTAAACTGTGATATCTTTCAGGAACTTTTTGCAGCTCGTCTTCTCTGGAGACAATACTGGGAGAGTTCTCAAGTATGATCCAATAGCTAAGAAAGCTGTTGTTCTAGTCTCAGATGTTCAGTTTCCTAATGGTGTGTCTATCAGCAAAGACGGCTCTTTCTTTGTTTTCTGCGAAGGAGACATTGGAAGGTAAGTAATAGTAGTAGAAGTAAATCTCCAAAATCTTGATGTTGTGACCAATCTCTGACAATTACAACTAAATGATCATTTTTCTGTTGTTGTTTGGGGATGCAGCCTGCGAAGGTACTGGTTAAAAGGCGAGAGAGCTGGAACAACAGATGTGTTTGCAATGTTACCAGGGCATCCTGATAACGTAAGGATAAACAAAGACGGTGAATTTTGGGTGGCGCTTCATTGCAGACGCAACTATTACTCATACATAATGGCAAGATACCCTAAACTAAGGATGTTCATACTGAGACTCCCAATCACTGCGAGAATACACTACATGTTCCAGATCGGGATGCGGCCACACGGATTGGTGGTGAAGTATAGCCCTGAAGGGAAGCTTGTGAAGGTATTGGAAGATAGTGAAGGGAAGGTTGTGAGATCAGTGAGTGAAGTAGAAGAAAAAGATGGGAAGCTTTGGTTGGGGAGTGTTTTGATGAATTTTGTTGCTGTCTATGATCTTTGATTTTGCTTAAAACTTACACACGTTTACAGCTTCAATGGGTTTAGCAACACACCAGAACGTTTTAGAACAAATATATTCGGTTTACTTGGACAAGTTTCTGAACATAGTACATAAGTAACAATCATAACAATAGCAATGAAGCAGAACTGATCCAGAACAGTATATGTGAACGACACTGTCAATTTACAACACAGACCAAACGCAACAACAGTCTTTACTCTTTTCTTTTTAGTTTTTGTTCTGACATAATAGCACAACACATAAGAAGGCGTATCATCTCTGAAGCAAGCCTCCTTTTGGTCATATAACCTTTCTTATTTTTTTTATTTTTTTTTGAAGAATCAGAAACTCTTACTATGCTGCTCCCACAGTTTTGAACTTCCAACTCGGTATTATATTATATATATAGCAGAATTGCACAATACAAAACATCTTCATTCTGCAAAGAAAAGAAACAACAACAAAACAAGATCTTAAATGTTCAAGAACCACTTGATAAGCCAAGCTGAATCAGTTAATCGAGAAGGGTTAAAACATACCTTTTTGCCAACAAGAAGCTGGCACTTGTTTTATTAGCTAGAACTAGAACCAGCCGCACATGTTCCTTTAACACCTCTTTCATTCGAAGAATGTTCATCACCCGCTTCTGAACTATGACGCTCATTGTTTGATTCAGCAGGAGTCTGATTCTCTGAGCCATTTGATGATGATGATACAGATGCAGTGCCAGGTCTACTACTACTGTTTTCTCTTGTTTCTAGACGTTCCATCATGCGGGAAACTGTGGCGATTCCAGCAGTGACCTCTCTTTTAACCTCAGAGCCGAGCTCTGCCATGGACGTATTGCGAGAAAAAAATCTATCTTTCCAGTTCCTTGTGTTCTTTGTTATCGATTCTTTATATCTACATTTTGCATCAAGAATCAGATATTACAAAAACACGGATTCAAAGAAAAACTAGCCATATAGAGATATGATACCTCGTCGAGACAGAGTTAAGCCGAGACTTGAAAGATTCTGAAAATGATTGGAGTTCGGATGGTCCAGCTCTATCTTGATCACTTGGGGAAGATTGATTAGGAGACCTGTGTATGCTGAAACAAAGGACGGCTCATACTGGCTGCATGTAATTAAACAATAAAAGGCGAGAATTCAGGTAGAGACCTGCTGTTTGAATCAAATGCCGAAGGAGAACCCTGGTGGGGATGAGAAGAAGCTGGTGAATGCATGTTTGACTGAAGAGAACCCTCCCCTATAGTAGTATTGTGGGGAAGGTTTGTGACTGTGTCGCTCTCATCTCTCTGAGATGGAGAGGAAAGCATGGGAGGAGGAGAAGGAGGAGGAGGAGCAGTAGGATGGGGAGAGAACATCATGAACTGTGGATGACCAGCTTGAGTTGATGACCTGCTTCTGTGGCCTTCCCTTCTAGTCCCATGTCTTGCACGGCCCATAGCAGCAGCAGCAGCCAAGTGCTGAATGATGCGTTCTTCAATCTCTGCATTATCCACCCCCGCTGGGAGCTGCATTTAAGGAGGTAGAGCTCTATTTAGATAATTCACTAGCAAAGAGATGTAATCAAAACTCAAAAATGATAACAATAATAAAGAGTCGCACATACATGCTGTAATTCAAAATCACCGAGAGTAGGATGACGAAATATGGTGGCGTTTCTAGTTGGATTGACGCGGAAATTCCTCTCCTGTACAACAGCCTCAAGCAACTCTTGACTGGTGAATAATATAAAACACAAACATAAATAAATAAAACCTCCATCAAATAAAAAAGAAAAGTATAACAAGGAGAGAAAACTAACTAACCCAATGGGATCTTTGAGACTAACAGATTGCCAACACATTGGGCACTGTGAGCTCCTTTGACACCTGAAATACAAATTCCAAGGGTAGGATCTGATAAGCTCGCACAAAGACAAACACAAATAAAAAGCTTGAGGGCATTGATTTTAAAGAACTCCTTTTGTTAATAGAATCTCCTCACATCACCTCAACATCCAAAGACCAAGCAAAAACATTCTTTACGACAAGGACAGTATAAACACTCACAGCAACACCAGGCAAAATACAAGGGAACGTGACAAAGGCACAAAAAAAGCTATGAAAGAGAGATTGTTACCACTCAAGGATGCATTGAAGATGAAACTCATGCTTGCAACTAGTCAACTGCAGAGAGAGAGAAAAAGAAATGAATAAAAACACAAACCCAATTACCAAAAAAAAAAAAAATCTAATCTTTTTTTTTTATCTGGTAATGAGAGTAACATACAGTAGAAGGATCGCTATCACAGAAGGGTTCAAGACAAATGCTACAAGCATCATCACACGCCTCTTGTATTCCTCCTTCCACAAACGCTGCTGCCGATATCAGATTCCCTTCACTCTCACACGACGTCGTTGTCGTCGTATCTCCAACTCCCTGTAAAATTGGAATATTCAATACAATTCAACACGAGGCTCATCGTTGTCTCGGAACAATTAAGATTGAAAGGGATTCGATTTCAAACCCTAACCTCCATTTTAAATCGCAGAGATAACAAATCAAGACGATCGAAGAAAATCTATCTAGGGTTTGGGGTAGAGAACGAGAAACCCTGGATTCATCCCGAAGAGAAAGACTCTTCCTTCTTCTTCTTCTTCTTCTCTTTGGGTCGTCTCTATTGACACGATCGAAGAAATCTAGGGTTCCTTTTATTTTTCTTTTATTATTTATTTTAGTTTTTAATTTAAACCCCCATTAACGACTGGGTCTTAAGATTAAGACACGTGTTTACTCTGTCTACTTTTCATCTTTCACACTACATTTTCTCAATCTTTACAAAGTGACATTAACTAATTTCACTCATCTCACCATAATCAGGCAATACCCATGCTTTATTTATTTTTTTATTTTTCAATGTTAAATTTTCTTCAATCCAAAAAAAAAAACATGTTTACATCATAGCGTGTCTGTTTCTGAGTTTTTTAAAAGAATAAAAAAAATTAAAAGAATATTCTTGTATGCTTTATAAAATAGACGACATATAATAATGAAGAAAACAACATATTTTCCCCCGTTTTAACATTAAAAGTTAAAAAACAATAGTCTGGAAAGAAATCTAGACAAAAGGTGGGGTTACAAAGCCGAGAGAGGAGAAGAAGAAACAAAAAAAAAACAGTTGGTGAGTCGATGTTATACAGTTTTACAACCTACGATATCTCTGACGTAGTGGTTCAAGTCTTGAAGACAGACCTTTGTTTCTTTCCTTCCTTTTTATCTTCCAACATAACCGAGACGATGAAGAACCATAGCTAAAACGAGCATGCATATAGCAAAGATCAATCCTCCTTTCCCCAGTAACCACTTCTTTGCTTTCTTCGCTTTCTCTATCCCCGTTTGCGCCCTATCCGCCCATCTCATCTGCACACAAACAACATAACGAATGAATAAGACATGTACATTCTTATATTAAACATTGTTTTGGTTTCTTTAAACCGTTATGCGTAGTACCATTTTCTCTAAAGCTTCAGGAGAAAGAAAAGCCATGGCTTCCTGAGCTTTTGCAGCATCTTCTTGAGAAAGCTTCATTCCGAACTGTTCGCTCATGCTTGCCATCATCTCCGGGTTCATGTTCTTTATCATTGACGTGAACATCTACCAACAACAAGATTAAATATGAACATCTACAAAATCACATTTATGTTTCCTAAATATATATATATAAACCAAAACCTGTCGCATGGCTGGATCTTTCATTTGGTTCCTCATCTGTTCTTGCAAGTCAACAGGCGGAGTAGAAGGCATGCTTCTAGGAGCCACGAAGGAGCTACCTGAAGAGCTAGATTCACCTACAACATTACTAGCTCCTAGACTTTCTCGTGGTGGTTCAGATGATGTTGATGAAGAAACTGGAGCGTTTGCTTTCAAAGAGGATGCCATGTTAAACATCCTCTCACGCTCTTCTGGTGACATTTTACTCATCATATCAGACGCGAGTTTAAGCATGTCTGGTGTGGGTGCAAACCCGTTTTCTCCAGATGGTGAAGCGAACGGGTTGCTGTCTCCTTTGAAAGAGGAGGCTGTTTGGACCATTTTCTGAATCTCTTCAGGAGACATTTTGCCTATCATGCTGGAGGCCGTTTTGAACATGTCTGGTGACATGTCTCCAGCTTTTCCTCCGCTCAAAGCAGCAAGTGTGTCTGGATCAGTTTTTGAAATGAAGTTCTGGAACGTTCTGCAGGCCAAAGGAGCTATAATTAGGAGACAAATAGATTACCAAGACATAGCTATACAGTAGTTTGGAACGGTGTAGAACCTGATTGCTTCGGGGTCATCTTTGAGAGCTTGCAATCCATCGATATCCGTCTTTAGACCACCACTGTTGCTTTCTCGTTGTGTCCCAATAACCTCTTTAATCGGCTTTTTACTTTCTCCAGAAGTGACAGTGTTGTCTTCAGTTATCTCTTCAATCACCACACCTAGTAACCAAACAATATAACAATGTTACGTTGTTTCGCATTCATAGATGAAGCAGACCATTGATGCAGCTAAGAGACGTCTCGTCTGACAAAATACTGAATTATTTTGAAAATCTCATAAGAGAAACGATTGTACCTCTTGATGATGCCTTGCCAGTGCACTCCACCGCCAGTTTTTCCTTTGCATCTCTAAAAAAAAAATTACTTTTAGGAACTTCAGAAATAAGCATGAAATTACCAGAGATAACTATAAAAATCCATACCTAAGCACATCGGCAATGGTCTCATCTTCAGGGGAAACTTCATGGGCCTTGCTTAGATCGGAGACGGCATCCTTGTAGATTTAAACAATCAATGAGAAAACATATTTTTACAGGACATGATGACAAGGAAAGGAACTTCCATAAACAAGAGACAGAAGAACTCACTTCAAACTGTCCCAGATCTCTGTAAGCTTGACCCCTTCTGTATAGGGCTTTGACGTTTGTTGCATCATATGCCAAAACCTGAATTAATAGTTTATAAAGTAAATTCATCAGAAGAACACCGAAACAGGATGAATTTATGTGCTTTAACATTTTCACAAACGAAGCTAATAGTTATTTTAGCACCTACATATGTTTAGAAAATCAAGAGCATAAGGAAGGGGTATCATACCTCGGAGCCTACTTTAATGCACTCTTGATGCTGATTTGTCTTCAAATAACATGACATGAGATTGAGGGAACAAGCCAACAAGAGTGCTCCACCTTTAGAAGATGGAATGTCCTTTAGATTGTTCTTCGCCTGAGATATGGTACAGATATAAAGACTCTTGTTGATAATCAAAGAAAGTGAAGTAGCATGATTAAAGAAAAGAGACATATGAAGTAGTCTTACACGCAAATATTTCTCCGCAGCATCACTGAAATTTCCTCTGCTATGAAGCTCATTCCCCTATCAAAAGATAATATATAAAAGTTTCATGATCAAGTTACACAGATATAAAAACAGAAAATCAAAGAGTACCTGTTTTTTTAGCATCTGAGCTGCATTGATCTGATAAGTGAAGTGAGCATCAGCTTGAGCACGCATAGCTGCAATCTCCTCAGGGGAAGCATTGGCCATCTTCTCACCAATCTGAGCCATATCCTCAGGCCTAGTATGCTTAAGCTGTTCAGCAGCTTGTTTCAAATCTTCAGGCCTCATATTCTGCATACTCTCAGTTGCCATCTTCATCAAATCCGGATTCGACATCATCTGTGTAATTACAATTTCACAATAAAAAAACCTCATCATACCAAAAAAACAAAAAACAAAAATCACCTAGAACCGTTAACAAAAAGCTAAATTATCAATAATAATAATAATAAACAACTTTTTTTATTAATTACAGGCGTATTCAGTTCTGTCTTGTTTTGTTTCTGAAACACATACAAGTACACACACTTTTATCTCTGTCCTAACAAAAAGTACAAATTAACTTTATGTCCTAATATATTGCAGAGATTAGGACATTGCATTCAACGAATAAGCTATTGAATTGATCATATCACATCACGATCAAATTTAAGGAAGACCTGCTGTTGGATCCTAGCGAAATCAGCAGGGGTCATACGACTCATCTGATCTTGAGCGAGACGAATCATCTCAGGATCCATCATCCCATTAAACATCTTCTTCTTCGATGAGATTCTCTGTGAGTCAGATCGGTTAAACTTTGAAATTGAGAAAGAGATTAGAGAATTTGGTTCTATATACAAAAACAAAAATAATACAATTGCAAATCCAACACCACCACCTCTTCAATTAACCGACCGGAATATGCCTGGAGCTGCATAATGACATATTTGCCCTTCCCATTAACGAGGTAATAACGACGTGTCGTAATTAATAAATTAGTTAGTTGGAATATTAATTAGCGTTCGATAAGTATGGAATAATATATGTGCATGTCCTTATCCATGTTGGAACAACGATGTGAAAGAAACCCAATCTCATTTTTTCCTCTTTTTATGTAAACTCTTTTTCCTTAAAAGCTTTGTTAAAATTTAAACTAGTTGGTGGAAATAATTTGATTTTAATTAAAGATTCTTCAGTATTTCTACATCATGTATGGATTTTAAATTAGAAAATAAAATTATACAGATTAACTGATAAAAAAAACTACAAGTATAGCACAGTTAACGTGAATTCTTACATAGTATGTAAAATTATCAGTGATAGAATCATCTATACTATTCCTAGCAGTTTGTAATATTATAATTATGAAGCGTTAAAAATTGGAACTTGTCAAACCCTTTTTCTTGTCCTTTTATAATCGTTTTGTTGTTGCCACACACAAAAACAAACAAACATTTTGTTGGTGTTTGCGTTGGGTTCTCCACTACAAACTGGCCGGAAAAAAAAAATCCAAACTGTATTACAAAGATCCAGCCCAAAAAGGCCTGGTAACGAATTGCAAAATACTATTGAGATAGGCTCAATTCGTGGAACCCCGAGTGATCGAGTAAAAGTCAAAGGATAAAGATGATCGAGATCGAGATGTTGGCAGTGGTAGATCCAGCAATCTTTGTACATCATTCAGGGTAATTATTACATCCCACATCACAGATTTATAGTGTTCTTGGATAAAATCTAATCTATTAAAAGTGAAGTACAATTAGAAAATAACCCTAATTTTTCCTAAATAATTACAATCTATGCCATTGAGATAATAAGTTTACTCACGATTAAGATAATTAAATAAATAAATTTATTATTTAATTCAAAATACACTTCGTCTTCGGCATGGTCTCCTCCATCTCCACTGCGTAGTTTTTGCATTGGGTTCTCTACTTTTGATTCCAATCCCTTCTCATATTCTTAAGGCTCCAAAATATTTTTTTTCTTTTGCTTCTTTGATTGTTACTCATAAAACGTATTTCTAATTGGAATTCGAGCTTTTACTGTGTTTCTTCGTTAGGTCTTTTACTTTAGTTTCCCCATTGAGGAGTGGAAAATTAGGGTTTCCGTGGCCATTACCCTCAAGATGTCATGTTAAATCAGACCCGTTTGCAGCTATTAGGGTTAGCGAGAAAAAAAAATACCCCTCTTGAATCGGATTTTCATATTCGCATTGATTGATTTTAGGATGGTTCTGATAGCCTCTATCTCTCTATGAAAGTCTGATTCTTTGATTCTACAGCTCGAGTGCGTTTGTTTTTCAATGAAGTCAAATGTTTATCGAGCTGGCTTGGAGAGTATCCAAGTATATTCATGACTGGTGGAACAAAGAAAGAAGAGACGGATCTGAAGGTAAATAAAACTCTCTAGAGTCTTCTTATTTGGATTTGACTAAAAGAATCTCACAGAGGCTTGGTTAGCAGATTTATAAAAGACACGAAATCAAATGCAAAAAGCTGCAATTTGCATTAATGACGAATATCTGGCTGCATATGAATGTGACACTGTATTGAGAGTGAAAGTAGTTTCGGGTAGAGAGGAGATTTGTTCAGATTTTTGGGACCCTAGCGTTTCTTAGGAGAAAGCGTGATATAGGAAACTTATAATGTTACTGTTATATAGAGAGAAAATGCCAATGGATGAACATAACTTACCCAGTGATCTCTGGAGAATCTATTAGCAAACAAGCACAGAGTTGTGGAATTCCTCAGCTAAGGAAGTTGAAATCGTCAGGTCTTTATGTTAACAGGAGAGTTGAAGATGCGAGTAGAAGATCTAATAATGGGATTGGTGAACATCTTAGCTTTCGTATCTGATTCTGTTTCTCAGAAGATGCTCACCAAGGATATGCTGAAATCCTTAAAATCCTTGTATGCTCAGAAGAATCCTGAAGTAAGTTAGCTGCACTTTTGCTCTCCTTATAAGAAAAAGCTGCAGCTTTTTTCGACAGATTTCATTTTCCTTAGGTTCAAAGACAAGCCTTATTAGAATTTGGGAACTTGGTCTTCTGTTTGGAAAATCGTCGTATTATGATGCGTTGACTGTCACACCTGAACCACTGAGTCAACAAAGCTGCAGCTCGAGCTTTAGCAATTCTTGGTCTGTTTCTTGTGTGCTATATTTTATCGTTATTGTTCTGTACTCTTAACCGGGCTTTACATACAATATTTTTCTTCTGATGACAGGAGAAAATGATATTCTGCGACCTTCCATATAAGGCAGGCAAGTAACATAACAAGGATTACTAAAAACCACCATGGATGGAGGCAGAATGAAAGGTCTTGATACGGTGCAGATTCTCAAAGAGATTGAGAAGGGAAGTGCACAAACTATACATGTGCAGCTAATTTTTTTTCTTGTAGGATTAAATGATGCAATATTGTTTCTATGCATTGAGATTTATTGCGATAATGTCATCATTTGTAGCAAATCAAACAAGAGTACACAAGGTGAAGCTCACTAATACCTCTTTAAACAGATCACGACTTGAATTGCTTATTATAAGTTCAACAATCTTTTGGAAGTATAACTTTTTAGAGAAAACATGAGGTAAGTTTTATGCATGTAAATACATATCCAAGTGTTATATAGCCTTCACCATATACCCGAAGTTCCCTAGATTGTACATGCTTCACTGGTAGAATGACGTCTATTATTTGTCCATCGTTTTGCTCAAGGATTTTTTTTTTTTTTTTTGCAGGTGCTCTGATGATTGAATACACCATAAAGGTAAAAAATATATTGATGATGGGGTAAACAAGCACAATTTTTATATTGCTCGACATATTTACAGATGCATATAAGAATATGTGTACTCGATCTTTAATTCACCACTAAAACAAACATGTACTTTTGATCCTTAGTGGCTACTGAACATCACTGTATGTTACTAATAATTATTTCATGTCAATCAATTTAGTTAATGACTATATAACTATAACCTAGAACATAATTTGAGAGGCAAACCTTCTAAAGTGGCATTCTTTGGTATAGTTGGTTGCCTATATCAATAGCTAGCCAGAGAGCGACAAAAAAAATTAGTATTAAGGGGAGCTTTTGGTAGGGGCCTTTAATCACCAAAAATCATGGTATTTTTTGAAACTATTAGAGAAACACAGCTCAAGAACAACAAAGATTACATATTACTTTTTCAAAAAAAACGAACAACAAAGACATGACTAGAAAAGAAACGGTAACATGCAAGTTCCATACCCAACATCAAGAGCAAGCATAAGTTCAGCCTCAGGTGATAAGTTGGTAATCCCAATACTTTGTGCTATAACCTCAGTCATTTCCTTAGATACAACGTTCATCTTTTTTCACACTTCATTTTTTTTCCCTCTTCAATCTACAGCTCTATTTGACCACAAATGACTGGATTTTTTCATTTTCAGAATATAATTTTGGAATATCCCAATACAAAAAAGATTTTAGGATTTTTTTTTTCATTTTTGGTAATCTACAGTTTTTATTTTTTATTTATAAAAAGCTGATGAAATTTAAAAAATGTTTTTAGTTTCTTTTAAAAAATATATTACTCTCATTACTTCAAATAAAATTTGTTTACATCAAATGTTGCAGAAAATAGATTAAATATTAAAAAGGTAAAATATGTATATCAAAAAATGTTAAAACATTTTGTAATATAATTGTCAAACAAGTCACATGAACAACAAAATTATACAATTATACTGTAAATAACATCAAAATTTAGAATATATTTAACATCTTTGTTATATAATCTCAATTGTTGACACATATAAAAATATATCAAAACCCGCGCGGGCGCGCGGGTCACAATCTAGTATACATTAAGAGGGATTAGGATCGATGCATTGTAGGGCTGTGAACTTCCATAGGATGAGTTGTCACATTATCTATATCCCATATCATAGATTTATAGTGTTTTAGACAATATATATGTGATATAGCAATCTTTCATTTTGAGCTAGTTATTGAATGTGAATTAGGCAAATCACAATTATTCTAATAATTATATAATAAGAAAATTAGGTGAGATAGTATAAAAAAACTAAATTCACTATATATAATTGGTGTTGAAAAATGAAATTTGATGATGTGGATTAATTGATGTTAAAAAGCTTGAGCTAGTTAAATAAGAAGAAAGGGGAATCTATTGATGACACATGTCACTTTTTAAGAATTTTCAGTATTTTGTTGTCTTTTTAGTTATTTAAAACTAATCCCTCTCTATATTAAAAGAGAAGTACATTTGCCAGGTGGCACTCACACAACCCTTCTCAGAAGAATTCTAGCGAGTTTATTGGTTGATTTTTTGATTTATTTTTACCATCGACACTACTAAAAAGGAAATCCATTTAAATACTTACCTTTTGTGTTTTCTCGATTCAAAGAACATCATTTTGCGATCTTTTCTCTGTTTAATTCATTAAATATTTTAGATGTCAGAGAAACAAAATAAATTGAGAAGATATTTTCACTCTTAAAATCATGCATTTAAAACAAAATTAATTGATAAGATATTTTCTCTCCTAAAATCATGCATTTAAAACTTAAACCAAAATTCTGGTGCAATCTATTCACGAGATGTTCTCCTTTAGCTTTATCAACAAGATATACCAAAAATAATATTACCTTAAAAGTATAAGATTTATTTAGAATTTATTAGAGAATATGTTACTTCTTAGCTTATCATGCAAGTTAAATCATTTAGAAACGTTCATCAATTTACTATAAATAAGACATTCAC